TCTTAAGACTGGAGTGAGCACAAGCCTTTTCACCCACGCTGCTACACTTGAGTCCCTCTCTCCTCTTCTCTACAGTCTTTTTCACTGGTGGTTCTGTCCCACCGTTACCTCCCCTGCCCTTCTCTGCCCTCAATCTAGTCTCATTCTTTTTAGTTGTCCTGGATCCATAGGCTTCTCTGTAGTGTCCTCCTCCTTGACCACTCAGCCTCTGTCTCTCCTGGACTCTACTGCGCATTTCCAGTTTCTCCTAATTCTGTCTTCAGTCTCTGCATCTACTTGTCCCAGTTTATGTCCCTAGAAACCCTTTATCCTTCTGTAATTAAAAGGGGTAGCTTTGTTCCCTGTTCCTGGAAATGGCTGAACTTCTTTGAAACTTCCCTTTTTTTTTTTTCCCTGAAATTTTCTAAAATAAGTCTGAGAATCTTGGAAATTTCCTAGGAACTTTCAATCTAAATACTTGCTGATTTGTAAAGCTGTGAGCAATTGAGAATATGACTTTGTGACGGTTATCGTTAAAAACCTTAATAGGAGGCAATGCTTTAGCCTTGCCCTTTTCAGCTGTGTCCAATGATATATTTAACTCTTTATTATGCCTTATTATACCATTAATTCACTGAAATAGCCTGTTCTTGTTATCATGAAAATTAGGGACAACATCACTGGTGATCACTGCTAGCTATCGTTTACTCTGCTTTAAAAATATTCACACAGATCACTGATATCAAAATAAAGACGTTGAACATCCAAGTTCAAGCAAAGTCTTGTAGACAGAGAGAATGTGTAAATGGTGTACTGAGCAGGAATAACACTTTTTATTACTACCAATACATCATTTTTCTTTAAGAACAGGAGGGGGGAAGTAAGTTCTTTGATGCTAATTCTCTTTTTAATTAATTTTTAGGGTCATGAATTTACATTACTAGAAAGTGTGAAGACTGAAGTTTCACTTTGACGCTGTACATTAAGATTTAATGACCTAGACTTATTTACACCTAAATGAGTTTTTTAATGGTCTAATTAACAAAATGTATCAGTTTGGCTCTTTAAACTAAGCCACTCTGAGGTAGTATCTTTTAGTAATTTCAAATGTTTAATAAAAGATGAAAGTCTTCCATTATTTTAAGTGAGTACTTTTTAACAAGCTCTTTCATCTTAACATATTACCACTGCCTCAAAAAATTGGACTTTACATTCAGAATAAATTTAAATTAGGATCAATTAAATTAAAATTTAAAATCAGAGGAATTTGAGCATTTTGTGTGGAAAAAAGGTAAAGAAATGTTTAGATCTTGATAAACTCTTGTATGAGGAATTCTAGCTCCTAGGAACTGCTTTTTTTCAGAAGAAGGTCCTGCCTGTCCTACTGAAGTACCAAAGGTCCAGTTTGTGAAGTGAGAAGTATGGTCTTCTCAGCACTGAGAAGAGTAAGTCCTCTGTTTCTTTTGGCTGCTGAGTCAGACGTGATCCATGGTGGATTAAGTCCAGTTCTATGGGTTTGGTTTTCTTAGGAAATCTAACTATGAAATACTTTTCACTGATTTTTAAACATTCTTTCCAGCTGTGTTAGCTGGAATTTACATCAGAAGAAGACAATATATTAATTATCTGAATTTTATTATCTTTTGTCTGGAGGCTTCCAAGTACCTTGTATAGACAAGTTTTACCTCCTTTTTTAAAGAGCAGGAAGCTCAGATATAGAATGATTCAGGACTTGCTCGAGATCACAGAGGAAACTGAGCAACAGACCTTTTCATTCTTAGGTAATCTTAATATTGTGACTCAGGCTAACATTTCTGGCTTGCAATAGGAACTTATATAAGTGGCAAACTTCAAGCACAAGAGGACCCCCCCTGGTTTCCATGGGGCTACTTGTATGAATCAAGTTGAGCATTCAGATAAGGTATCAGCAGGATTAAGGCATTACATATGGTGGAGAATTGAGCTTTATATAAACTTTAAATAGACTCCCAATCCTTTGTGCTTCCCATTGTCCTGTGTTGCCTCTCACTCTGAAATAGGGCATATCAGACAGCCAGGAGAACTGAGCAGACAACTGGGAGAAAGAGGGCTGTCTCCTATGAATTAAAAAATCTAACGGCTGACCCCCCAAATCATACGCTTCAGTTTCAATAACTTCCATGCCTTTGATATCAATCCTGTGATTCTATTTTGGTTTGTCTTCTGATTTTTGAACTCCTGGGGTTGGCTACACTGATATAATCTCTAAATTTGGTGGGGAGAGAGAAAGGCAAGCATTGTTAGGATGAAGGAGCCTGAACAACAGCAGCTGCTGATCTGCTCAGTCAACAGAGTCTGTTTTATCACACGGCTTGAGATCGAAGGTTTCTCAACTATATTTTTAGCGCATTAAGTAAAAGCTTATTTGTTTTTCGACTGAGGTGATTATACCCTTGGTGAGGTGCTACTGCTTGTTCTGCAAAATAATAAAGACTGTTAATCTTATGATAAACTCAGGGGTGCGAAATGAGTGTCACTCAAACCTCTATTATATTACATTCATAGTCAGAATGTTCAGAAAACATCTGCATCTCGAAGTCATGATTATTTCTGCTTTAATGTGCATTGCATCAGTTACAAAAGATAAAAAATAAGTTACCTGAGTCTCCCGTTAGGGCTGGGGAGCTATGCAATTTAAGTAAATAATAACATAGAACATAGCAACATCAGCAAGATCAGAACAGGGGATGCATCTGTTTATGAGCTCTTCCTCAGGAGTATTTTTAGCCCCTATCCCTTAGAGAAAGGATTTGTGGCGAGAAATACAGCATGTTAAGAGAATTTGCTGTCATCTAAATAGCCCCTGCACTGGAGGCCATGAAGTATTGTAGACCGTAATTAATCCTTCAGGTTACCATAAGTGGTAGGTCGGTAATTTTGTGACAGACTGGTGAATCCAGGCAGCTTGTGAACCCGCTACCTGCAACTTGTTCCCAGAGAGCTCTGTAGAAAAACCCCATAGGTACAGCAGAGCTGTGGCTGTGGCTGTGTCTACACGCACCACGCAACAGCACATAGAAATAACAGCGAGCGAGCGTTAAGTGAGCACTGGAAGCCATCTAGCAACAGCAGCACAGTGCTCTGGGTTTATTACTCTGAAAGGAACAATACGTCAATACTGCAATTCTACTTTTAGTACCGAGTGAATTTGGAAATACCACTGTATAACACTGCATTATGCTGTGCAGACGTGTACCTGCTGAAATGGGAAGAGAGGGGGGAAATGCTGCCTCCCATTAGAGTCAGTAGGAGTTTTCACCAGACCAGGCTGGATGGGGCTTTGAGCAACCTGGTCTGGTGGTAGGTGTCCCTGCCCAGGGCAGGGGGGGTGGAACTTGATGATCTTTAAGGTCCCTTCCAACTCTAACCATTCTATGATTCACGTTACTTCAGTTGGTTCAGGATTGCACCCATGGTTTTTTTACTGGTTTAGGGTTTCCTACCTACATATGGCTTCATTCCACAGCTGGTGTCATCACAGCCTGTTCATTGCAATTCTTATTCTTCATCCAAGTTGTTTTGTAGCTGTTGTAAATTGAAGAATAAAAGATAAATCTCTGGCAATATTTTGTCTGTTTAGACAGAAAGGTCTTTAGGAACAAGGACTACCTTTTACTGACTGTTGCTATAGTGCCTAGCACAATAGGGGCCTGGGTCTTAGTTGGCATCAATGTAGTACCTCATTGTAGTAATTAATGTTCCCGAGGAGATAAAAAAATACAACAGCTACTCCCTAATGTAGTCATGCACCATAATGGCATAAAATAATTTGACATTCTGACTAGTCACATTATGTGTGGAATTACACTTTGCTATGCAAAAACTTCTCAGGTACTAAAAATAATCCTTCAGGTAACACTGATGATCTTGCAGTAATCCAAATGATTTTACAGACCCCAAAGCTCTCTTTTGCATATGTACAGATACCGTACTCTCCAGTGTAGCACTGAAATTGGGGAAATGCGGCTACGCAGGAGGTTAAAGGCAGAAAATATTTGACAGTACAAAAGCTGCAAGACAGAATGGGAGCTACAATAATGCACTCTGTTAATGTTGTGAGGTGGATTTAAATAAGTAGGAAATTATCTGCCAGAATGGAATTTGGCAAGAAGACCAAACTTAACATTCCCTCATGTCATCCAAAATGTCATGTCCATTTGAATAACGTCCTCCTGGATGGAAACAGGCAGAAATTTTCCAGTAAGAAATGCTTCATTAGAAAATGCTGAGTTACTGAAAAAAAAAAAAAAAGGTATTTCTCAAGAAATTCTCTGGGTCTTTGGGTTTGTTGGGTTATTTTGTTGTTGTTGATGTTGTTTCGGGGTTTTTTCTTCTTTCTCCACCCCCGTGCCCCTTGCCTGGCCAAAACATAGGTAGGTCCCCATTATTCATTGCTCTCCAGGAAACCTTCTGTGTGGCCTTTGTCTGACTCCAGGGCACCTAGCAGGCTTCCTGCAGCTCAGCTAGGAGCTGAGCCCAGAGCTCAGATATCTCCCAGGTGCCTCCAGTAGAGCTGGCAACCCTGAATTTCTGAGATCTCTGACCCAAGTTGGGGGATTCTGCAGCTTTGACTCCTCTCTCCACAACAAAGAATTTGAATACCTCAACTCCTGCTCCAAGCCCTGGCCTGTGGGGCTGGAAGCCATGGGAAAGCTTGCCCAGCAGTGGTTGTACTTTTGCATGCCCTGCATTTGGCACTGTAAATACCAAGAGTACTGGTTAAAGTTTGGATGTCCATGTTTCTGAGGTTCCTACTCTATAGGTAGGTAAGAAACAGTCTCAGGAGCCCTGAGGCTCTTAAATCTGTTGCTTTCATAATGGAACATTGCCCAGGTTCATCCAAGATTTGTACAGTTGGTCCCATTTGTTTCAGACAAAATAATCAGCACCAAAGCTATCTAATTTTTCCAATGTAAAATTTTCAGAATTTTAATTCCAATGGAATTTTTGAGAATCCTCTTTTTTATTCTCTTTCAAAACAGAAATGTGGAGCAGATATCTTGAATTTAAGTGAAAGCATCTCCAAGCACTGTCTGAGGGAACTACTCAGTGCTTCACACTGAATTGCCAGCATCGCTCCAAACTTCTCTGCGTGGTGGTTTGCCGTCTGAGGTTGGTTGGGTTAGTCATTCTCAGCCTGTGAGATGTGGCATATCCAAAGTGGGAGGTTGATAATGTTTGGCACTTAATTCTTGGTAGTGTATTGTTTACACTAGAGCCATTAAATGTTCTATAACCTTCAGATATCTTGGGTTTTTAACCATGGCTTTTATAGTGTCAAGATGTGTTGAAGCATATGTATAGTGTGTTCAGTCGTCGTGTATGCGGAGTTCAAAGCTTTGTTGCCTCTGTTACACACAATCTCCCTGTGCCTTCACAGCTGTAATCTTTCCTCTTGACAGAAACATTAAAAACAGCTGTGGATGTTAAAGATGCTCCCTGCTCCCCACAACAACAGTGTTTCATGGCACCAGAGTTAATAGCTGTGGAAGGACTGAGCACAACTGACTGAGGCTATGAAATGTCACTACATTTGCATTGGATGGTCTTCTGTCCTGTGCCAGCAGGGAAGAAAGGTAACAGCACTTTACATTAACAGTCTCTGATGTGCATATAATTAGGATTAAGTTTGCACTTTGTGTGGTAAATAAGAATAATTGAAGCTCTCCAAACACACATTTAATAAATATTCACGAACTGTAATAATTCACCAGCAATCAGTTGTGAGCAAATTTTATTAGAAATCAAGAGATATACAGTGCCTGTGTGTGCCTATACATAACAGCTAGGGTGGCTGAGGCTGTGGGTTGGCCCCTTGTTCCTCTTTGTGTCCTTCCATGTAGACTGGGGGCAATGGCAACCCTGTGTTCTTGCCATGCAAAATCTTCATTTGCAGGTCATTTGTAGAAAGGTTTGCCTAGGACCCTTGTACCAGGGCACACCTTGCTCTGCAGGACCCGAGAATACAAATGAATTTGGCACTCACATAGGAAAGAACCTATTGAAAGGTTTGAAGAAAGTATTGAATACCCAAGATTAGCCTTTCGGCTGTAGTGGGACTAGTCCTATGTAGCAAAGTGTTTGCAGGATCTGGACTGGAGAAAGCTTTGGCTAGGATTAGAAGCTGTCAATACCCAGAATCAGAAAATTCAGAAAAGGATGGTAAAGGCCTTAATCAAGGCAGCGTGATGAAATTTCCCCACCAACTGCTTTGCAAAAATTGTATTAATAAACAGTTAATCTGGGAATTATTCCAGCAGATCATGCACAGGGACACCAAAAAAGAAATAGTGCTGGCATCATATTATGTATAACGATTGAGATGTCAACGCTATGCAGTGATTTGAGCACACTGGTGCCTAACAAGAGAGGAAAGGTGTGTGTTGGCAGAAAGAGAGAGAAAAAAGAAAAGTTTGAGATGCTATTTGTTTAAAGAAAAAAATCCATCGTATGACTTTTTTAAATGAGGATAAAACTACTCTCTCCAGCTGCATACAAATGGGGAGCATCTCACATATTAAAATGGAACTGGGACTTTCAAGTACTTCACTCAATATGCAGAAAATGATACTGGATGTTGACAGCTTCTCTCCACAAAGAAGACAGCTGTGGGGGTCCTTTTATTAGACAGCATAAAAAAAATAATCCTGAAGTGAAGTTTTCCCAAGTAAATAGGAAAATATTCAATAAAACAATCAAGTGCTGGTTTTATTTTGCTGTTCGCTATGGAGTTCATTACATTTCCTACAAATAATACACAAAACAAATCCCTTTTTAGGACTGTGGGAAGTACTCACATATGACAAATGGTGATTGGTATATAGATGTGCTGAGCTGGTAATGTCTGTGTTCTCCAGAGCCCATGAATCATCTGACAGTGCCACTGTGATGTTAAAGTAGAACAATATTTTCCTTTTCCATTCTGGAATATCCTGAACTTTCCAGAACCAAGGAGCCTTCCTTATAATTAGAGATGATGCCCTGTGCAACCACAACCCTGTCAGTTCTCAAAGTCTCTGTCTAGTTCCATGTGTGAACTATACATATTGCTCTTATTCTTATACATGTGCCCCTAGTAGAGAGCCAAATCCTGGATTCAAACACCCAGAATTATGTCTTAGCTTCTAGCTAATATGCAACTGCATTATCCCCATCTTCCCATGGCTGGGATCAGTCTGGGAGCTATCCCTAAAGGTAAACTCATTGGGTTCAGAAGCCAAGTGACTGTTGTGGAAGTTCTTTGGCTCAGAAACTGCTTCTTCCATGTCCCAGTCAGCTGATGCTGAAAAAACTCGTTTAAAAGTAGTGCTTCAGGGATTTTTTTTTAATCTTCTCCAAGATCGTAGAGAGATGTTTGAGAAAATAAGAGTTTATACTGGTGAAAGTGATGGTTATGTCTTTCTCAAAATATTTATGATCCTTGCATGAGCATTTGGGACACAAAATGGCTAATATGCAAACAACAGAGTTAACTGGGGTATTGCAGAATATCAGCAAACATATACAGTATACATTTGTCAGGTGATACACAGAGATAAAAATCAGCCTGGCAGCTCTTAATTTCCATTTCCAGAGATGAACTGCTGCTCCAAGAAACAGCTGCACTTTTCCCATGCTTTACCTCTCATGGATTCAAGAAGGGCCTTTGCATTTCAGGGAAGGAACGCTTCTCCCCTAAAAATTTTCTGTCTTGGTTTTTCCTCTCTTAGTCACTTTCAATCAAACCAGAGGTTTCTTTGTTGTTTGTCTTTGTGTTTGCCTGCAGAGCTACAGTTAAACACCAATTACAACTTGGATAGGTGATGATGTAATGCCATTTCTGTTTAACTCTCTTCTTCAGGTCTTGATAATGTATGTCTTAATCATCGTGACTGTTAAGTTATCACACAGAAAGCCAAATGATTCAAATACAGATGCTATTATACAATTTTAAATGGCTGCCATTTATGAAAAGTAAAAGGACTGATGCAATTGATACACTGAGAGGGCTTTATAAATCTCTGCAGACACAGGAATACATTGCATAGTGCAATGTGAGTGATGTCTGCAGCTAGTTCTCATTTGAAAATCCTTAAGTAGTTTTGAAAATTCATCCCATTTTGTCTCTTTAAAATGTGTGCTTTGTTCCTCACTTTCTACAGTCGTAGAAGTGAGAGGCTAAAACCGTCTTCATGGCTTGCCATTTGACAAGTTATTCTGCTGGTTCATCCTTTCACCTCTTGTGAAATATAAGCATCTCTTTTTGCCACAAAGACCCTCTGAAGCTTACCACACTCTCTCTAACTACCTGACTTCTGTGTCTGACCTCCATCAGCACTTAATCAAGGGATATTCACTAGCTTAATTAGCCAATACTGCATTTTCTGTCCAATCTCTCTTAACCTCTGTACAAGGCCCAGATCCTCACCCTCACCAAGTTGCAAACTGCAGCTGCTCTTCCCTGACTCCCCTTCCTCTATTCCTCTTCTATATCAACAGAGCTACCCAAGGTGAGACAATTTATCGCCACTTTATTGACTCTTTTGCTGTATTCCCACTGGGATTTCGGTGCCGCCTGGGGCTTCTCAGTGCTAGAATAACATAAATGTTTCATAAAGTTAATATAGAGAAGGAAGGGGAGCAGGCAGGAGTCAGGTTGCCCACAGATGTTGAATAATGGCACTGGAAGAAATGCTGCAAATCACTGCAAGCTGAAAGCTTACATTAACATCTCTATTCTATAATTGCATGGTATACTCAACGGCTGTTAGCTTTGGCGGGCGTTGCACAGTAAAGATGCATTAGAGTAATTATATTGTAATGACAGAAGATCATGAGTTAAAGATGCTGTGGATCCTGTTAGTATACACATCTGAAATTGTTTGGAGCTGATGTGGGAGGTGTATCCACATGGAATTTGATAGCACTGATATTGTAATTAAAGCTGAGGAGATGGGGTTTGTACTTATTTCCTACTGCTGCCTGTGAATATTAATTAGCTCATGTAACCACCTGACCCTCGCAATAATCAGCTCTGTTAGACAGAGCAGGAGGGAAAATGTGAATTGCCCACTAAATATTTATTAAGAAAGCTGAGATGAAAACAGCCCAGTTGTGGTAGACAATAGAGGCTCCTGGAAGCCCAAGTGCCTTCTCCCTGGTGGAAGGAAGAGCAGAATATTTCCAGTTTCCTCTGGCCTCTGCTTCATAGAGGACAAGGACATTTCTGGCACCATACAGATGACAGAGACACACCTGGTTTGCCACAAAAATAAGTAAGACAATCACAGGTCTGCAGAGACCTCAGATTTCTGAAGACAGTTGAGACTTTTTTTGCTTTCCCTGCTCAGCTTCCTGTGTAGGGCTGTAAGGAGGAGAGATGACTCCAGAAGGCCAAAAATATACGTCCGAGCTGAAGAGCTTCCCACGGGCTGGACACACTGGGTAGATGTATGTTACTCTTTCTGATGGCTTCAACATCACCCCCAAAGAGAAGGGAAATGCTTATTTCATCGCTTGCAAAGATGGGATGAAGAGGTACATGGAGGGTACATGGGGTACATCTCGTACTGGGGAAAGCCCTAAACTAAAGAAAACTAAAATCCTAGGCTGCCTGGCAGCTGTCTCTGCCTGGCAAAGCAATCCTTTTCACCATTACACTAATAATGCTGTGTGAGCTTTGAGGATACTGAGAAAATTGGGTTCAGGGGAGAAGTTTGAAAGTGTGCTTTTTAAAGATGGCAAGTAAAAGCCATGTAGAAAATGAAGATAAGTCTCTATCTGCAGCATAACTAGGTAGCTCTGTTTCTCTCCCCATTAGGTCTTGGTCTTGTTTGGTGCAGGAGCAGCCTTTCTAATTGTTTCCTGATGAGACTGGTTATAGACTTCATATTTTTGTCCTTCCCACATCTCCCTCATCTTTTCCTATCATGGTCCCTTCCCCAGTCATAAGGATTGGATCAGCTCAGACACACAGTCTTTGGAGTCTGTGCGGAGGGGCAGGCTGTGTTAAAAAAATGGTGTTGTTCCTAATTGCTTTAGGGTTGGCGAGGCAGTAATTCTCAGAGAAGAAGGTAAAGCACGATGCTGCTGTGCGCCGGCGTCTGGTTGCTGCTCTGCTGGAGATCCAGGAGCAGCAACAGCACTGTGAGACCTCTTTCTTCTTTCCTGACAGCGCCACGGTACCTGTGTCTTAATCAGTCAGTGTCAGACAGTGTCACAGGCTCTGAAGGCTCCTCTCAGCGAAGCACAGCACAGATACCTCCCTGCTGCTTGTAGCTTAGGTTACCGTTAGGAGACTGAGCTATACCTGATGTAACACTTAAATGCCCCAGACGGGCTGAAATCTTCAGAAGCCTTGGCACCAAGGGGTGTTCAGACCAAGCCACCCCTCGGCTGCCAGCCCTGCCACCCGGCTAGTGACGGCACAGACAGGAGGCAGAGCAGCTGCCAGAGAGAGGTGACAAAAGGAAAATGTCCTCGTTGTGGGCTCTGACATAATTTTAGTCGTACGCATTACAGGGAATGAGAAATCTGTGTATATTTTACATTAAAATACAGCATGCTTCTCAGGCTTTCTGATTTGTAACTTTCGTGACTGGCATGATTTAAATCAGAAAGGACGAAGGGGGGAGCCCACCCAAAATGAAACGGTGACATAAATAAGAGTTTTAGAGGAAACAATGGAACAGCTGACTATAGGGAATAAATGTAGCTCCATCAAAGTTAGAGTGGTTTACTGTTCCCAGCAGTGAGTCTAGCATCAAAGGGAATCCTAACCCTGAAGCCCCTGGAAGGAAGTGGGTTATCAGCAGATACAAACTGATTCATGTAGAGAACAAAGACAACATTTTGCGTACGGGACAGCCTGGCTTTTCGGTGACAGCACTCTCTTCCCTGGGCACGGAGAAGTTCAGCCTGGGCTTTTAGGCCTTCCACCATGTCAACACATTTTCCTCGAGGCCCCCTACCTTCGAGGTATGAATAAATAAGGCTTTATTTTTTAAACATTATAGTAAGTTGCATCTGTTCAGAGGATCCTGCTGGGAACGTTTTCACGTTCCACAAGCAAGTTAGGCCTGTGGTGTTAACACAGGGGCCTGGTGAACCGTGTTCACCCGTGGGCACTGAGTACGTAGAGCAGCTTTATTATTAAACTGTTGGTGTTCAAATGCTTTGCAGAATCAGGGCCACCAATGGTAAACTTCAGGCACTTGACTTTCTGTTTGTTGGCTACCATTTTATGGGCCCTCCCGATGCTGTATAGCCCTTCATTGTGTGCGGAAGGGAAAGAGTGGATTGTTTGGAGCTACCCTGCGAGTAACAGCAGAGGAGGCAGAGCTGCTGCCAGAGAGAGGTGACAAAAGGAAAAGATCGTTGTTGTGGTGGCTGATAGAATTTCAGTTGTGTATGTTAGAAAGAAACGAGGTTTAATTAGTGTGGAAATGCAGAGGAGTGATGATGGCTTTACACTAGGTGTTCCAATTTGGCTGGGTCAGTCTTCCTCCAAACAGAGGACATGAATGTGCAGCAGAAGATATTGGAGGTGTTAATTTTGTCTCAGATTTTCATTGAGGATATTCGTTCTGTCCCCACTTTGAACCAAAAGCATTTCAACCCCTCAGTTTAGGAGTGTGCCCCAGTGCAGAGGTCTGTGCTCCACCGCCTGGTCCAGCACTCGGGCAGATGTACCTGTGTCTCCTGCCAGATGATATGGCAACTTTAAGTCATCTCCTGCAAAACGTGTACACAAATGGATGCAGAAATCAGTGTGGTTTTTTTTTACTAGCATAAGGCCGTTCACCATGAGCAGTTGCAGGATTGAGACCTTGTTTAGAAACAAGATACTCAGTAAAATTAGTATGGTCAATTTTCATTTTTGAAATCTTGTACAGAGTATAAATATTTTGGAAATGAGAAAGAACACAAAAATGCTCAAGTAGTGCATATTCAGAGGCCTCAGCTTTAGTAAAATGTTATGGTTTTATGAAGCTTCCTTATAATTCCTTCCAGCTGCCCCAGAAGTAAAAAGGCAGTGGTGTTTCAGGGGCTGATTGCAGAGGTCATAACCTTCTGCACACAATATATTGAACAATTCCATCATTCCTGCCTTCAAAGTGAATTTAGACTGACATAGCAGAATAGAAAAAAAATGCTTAATAAACTAAGAATTTTATTGCACACACACAGAGTCTCATAGGTATGCATTCAGCAAAGAGTGGGCATGGCTCTATAATAGGTACACTAAAAAAAGCAATGTTTGTATTAATATCCCCTTTCACCACACTGAGTAAAAAAAAGCCCTTTTCGGTTATTTTACTCTTTACCCTCATCATCTGTTTGACTACAGCATTACCTTAGTAAAGAAACACTGTTATGCAAAGTGATAAATATGAAATTTAAGAGAATGAGTCTTTTATGTGTAGTAATAGATGCAGTGCACTGAGCCCAGCGAGGGATTGAGGAGACCTTGCCCTGGCAAGAGCTGGCCTTCGTGCGTGTCCTCTGGCCAGGAGAGAAACTTTCCGCTGTGCTGCCCCTCCAGCCTCCTCAAGAGCAACGAAGGCAAGTGCTTCCAGGGGCCAACTCATCAGCCCAGATGCTGATTCAGCCCAAGAATATTTAACGGCAGCAGAAAAATGGATCACACCAGAGGATTTTCTCCTTGAAGAGGATTTCACCCTGTTCTACTCAGAGATGGAAATTTCTGAGGTATTCTGGACTTCTTTAACAGGTCTCAGCAGTTTAGTGCAATAAAAAATGGAAATCATGATCATGCACATTCCACCTTAGGCGTAAGATCATAGTTAACCCTTTGATGCGATAGGAAAAACCCTCAGACCTTCATCCCCCTGAAAAGATCCATAGCAAAACCATTTGCTATATCACGTCCAGTCTTTAGCACCCTGTCCTTCACTGTACCCCCTAAGAGAAAAAGAAGCTTTAGTATCCCTAATGTCCAGATGAGCAGCTGAGCTCTGGACTTAGACCAAATCCTCCAGGACATCAGAGTGCCTCGAAACTTTTGAGACCCTAGGCCCAACGGACCCTCTAGAAGCCAGGATGAAGGATGGGAAGCAAAGCCTTAAATCCAAGGCCTTCATGCCTTAATCATAGACACAGCACCATCCTTCTCCTACAGAGAAGTTCCTCACCATAAATAATGCTTCATTACCAACACTTGTTTGCTAATTGCTTTTGCTTTGCAGGCTCACTGTTTCATTATTACATTGCAGTGCCACCGCTGCCTTGCTTTCCAGCCATATGTTGTCAATCATATTTTTGCTTCTTGTTGTTGCATTATTGTGAAGCTCTAAGCTGTTTATGAGTCCCTGACATGTGAAATTCTGGCTGTGTTCAGATTTCAGCTAACCCTGCTGCTTAGATGCAGGAATATCACATTTACCATACAGAGAGATTTATTTAAAAACCAATTGTGAATTACACCGAGAAATCTTCACTAAACCATGACAATAAATAATGAGAGGATGTTTGCCTGGAGGACTTCTCCCTAATGAGGTTTGGTCTTAGGCAGGCACTCTGTTTGGAAGCCAGATACCTTGTTTCTTGAGATTTTCATTTTTCTCCTAATCTAGCAGGGTTTTCTGTGAGATTTTGTTAATAATTGACCATGGGGTCACTAATGGTTACACATAACAGGAAAAGGCATGACCATGAGCGTACTTGGGGGAAAAATAATTTTGTGTATCATTCCAATCTCTAATATCTATTTGTTTGTAAACAAAAAATCTTAACAAGGTAGCACAGTGTTTTGGAAGTAGGTATACTCGGGTGTGCTCGTAAAGAGAACTATGGTTAAGTAGAAAATATTCTTATGGCCCCCATTTCTTCAGAGAAGGGTTTCTGCTCTGAGGGGCACCTCTCTGTCTAGTTACAGTCTTGTGTAGGATCTGTTCTCAAACAAACTTTTCTAAATGAACTCTCTCATTTCTGTAACTGGTGTTTGCATTAATTCACCCCAGACCCCACTTCCTCTGCGTGTGCCGTCCTTGCTGCTGGCTCCTTCAGCGACACGCGGGATCCTGCCAACGCGGGGTTGTGGCAGCCACATGGATGAATATGGGTGTCCCCAACAGTCCACCAGTTCAGACCTTCATCGCTCTGTAAGGTACACAAAAACAATTTTCCAGCGTGGTATTTTGGACACTCTATTATAAGGAAATGTATGTAATGGCAATGGGGGTATTGGCATATATTCCTGCCAGTGGAGGTGTGTATGATGTGTGTGCAGGAAAATCTGTAGGGAATGATGTACAGCTACTGTGTGTGAGACAGGTGGGTGCTGTTCTACTGGTGCTCATTGAAACCCCTGGCATCCCCTACCACAATAATTTCCAAAGTGGTATAATATTTCCTTGCAGGTTTACTTAAAGATTGATACAAATAAGAGAGTGAAGCACTTTTTTACTTGAACAGTGAGAGGCAAGAGTGTCATTACCTGGAGACCCAGGGTCCCTGGCCAGATCATTGGGCCTGGAGAGTTACCTACCAGACATTTCTTGGATTCTGCAGAATAAATGGACATCCAGGTAATGGGGTAGGAAAGTAACCAGACTGAAGGATTCCCCCATGGACAAATCCCCACTGATATGAAAAGGTAGCCAGAACATACATATGGCAGGCCACAGTTATCAAAAAGTAATATGTATAGCAAATAGTTTTGGTTGGATCTCAAGTTAAATTAACCTGCACCATCATTTTGAATAACAGTACCCGGGATGAAGTCTTTCTCCCCAAATGAGATATTTCATCTCTGCTTATTAGTAGCTCGTTCCCATACTGGGCAGAACTCTCCTTAAAGTAGAGCAAGAGGGAAGAATAATATTGTCAGGCTCCTAAATTAATCGAGCTCTCCCCTGATGTAAAGAGCCCAACCATTTACTTACTGCAGCGAGCAGCACGCCCTCACGTTACGGAGACTCACAATGGAAAAATGTGTCTCGTCGTCTCAGTCGCGCGTCTGAGGGCCCTTAAGACAGAGGACAGGTTGGAAAGGCAGCTAAACCAGGCTCTGCTTCTTCAGGTAGTGCCAGGTTCAGCAGCCAAGTGAAAAAAACCCGCATCGTTCCTTTCCTCCTTGCCTCCGGCAACATCTGCTCGTGTGACAAAGTGACAGCTCAGTAGTTCTGCACTTCAAAAACTAGTTTGATGTCTGACTTGTATTCAAAGTGCTCGGTAACTCTGTGCTTTGCACTTACCTAAGTGTTTTAATCTCTCACAGTGCAAGCAACTTGATAACGTAATAATCAAACAAGAGATTGACAGAAGATGTAGAAGGCTTAACATGCCCCTCTGATTCTTCTACCATGGAGTGATAGATGCTTCAAGAAGAAAAGAATTCCCCTAGTGGTTTTATTGTTTTCCAGGCATCTTTCTAGATTAACTTTTCCAATGGTAAAATCATTACAAAGTAGAAATGCAATCTCTCTAAGGGCTAACTTGAAAACCTAGTCTAATATAAGGAGCTATGATGGAGTAATGAATCCTGTAAGTAAACCAGGGCTTTTTGTGACCGGCTTTGTAAGGTGAGGAAATGGGAGAAAATGTTGCATTAGGAGAATTAGCCCCAGTGTTATTTTTGTCTGCCTTATTGTTTGGGATGTTGCAAAACCAAGGTGTCTCCAAAACCTAGAGCCCAAACTCTAAAATTAAAACCCCTTGCACCTCTCAAAATGTGAGCTCTCATCTATACTGTCTTTTTGTGGATGGAAAGGCAGTGCTGGGAACAGTGATGTTTGGGGAGCTCCATATGGCTATGGTTAGAGCCCCGTCAGGCTGCAGCCACGTCAGGCCCTCTGATGAGCAACAAAATAATGCCTCCACCAGAGAAAGGTAGCGGGAATTCAGGCCAATATCATCCCCTCTGGGATGGTTTACTGGGAATTTTTATGTGCAAAACCAGCAAAAATCAAGTCCATCCAAAAAAGAAACCTCAAACCTTGCTACTGGGACAGGAAATGAGTGAGAGAAAATAAATCTAAGTCAAAAAAAGCCTATGTCATTTCCAGCGTGACAGAGAGGAGTGAGTTAGATTGTTAAATTATAGATTTACAGTGAGAGCTCCGCAAACAGGCAGAAGGCTTTATAAAGTTTTGAAGAGTAGAAGCACTTGAAAGAAATATTATTTGCTTTCATACTTCTTAGGAAAAAAAGCAACTGCAATCAATTGTGTTGTAATTTTAATATTGGCTTCAAACTAGTGGTAAGATTACTTTGCATTTAGTGATGCAGCTTACCCCAGTGCAAGATTCAGCAGGATTTGTCCAGTCTGGAAATAAAACTTAACAACTGCTGTGTTCAAGTTGGAGCAAATCTAACATCATACGTTGTGGCTGTGTGCTCTCCCTGGTTTTCCCCCTCTTCTTCCCCCGACCTCCCCCAGCTCCTGCTCAGGCATTGGCCACCACCATGACCATCACACCATCAGGTGTGATAACTTGCACCTGTACTTTGAGTGGTGGCTGGCAACACAGCCAAAACACTCTGGAGTGGGGACCTAGATAGTTTGTTCCCATTAGAGTATGACTCTAGGCCAATTATTTTACTCTATAAATAGGGGACAGCCCCAGAGCCCTTGGAGCTCTCCTGCAGGGCAGCGGCTGCACGCCAGCATCTCCCCTTTGGTGAGGACGCTCGCTTAAGGCTCTACTCCTTGAGACTGACAGATTCCTTTCCACAACAGATTTTCGGTAAGTGACTAATAGCATGCTAAACTTTGAAATATTAGCTAAGTAATGTAAAGGAATGATTGCACAGATAGAATCCTTTAGACATAAACTGTTGACCAAGTCTGGGACTGGGATTGGATCCAGCTGCACCCAGACTCCTCCCTGAGAAGGAGTTCAGAAAGCCAGGGGGTCCTTTCTGAACCTCGTGACTCAACAGGAGGGTCTCCCTGACAGCATGTCTGACCCTGTGCTCTCTGCAGTAAATAATAGAGTGTGCCTTGACATTGAATCTTGTAAAACACTGTTGCATTCACTACTGGTTTTATCACATTTACTACTGATTTTATTGCATTTACTACTGATTTTGTTAAATCACTGTTTCACCTTTATAAGTATTTCACTACTTCTCTCTTACGAGTGAAGTCAATCACTCCGCCTGCGACACGTGGAACAAAACATGGGGACAGTTCAGGACAGGGCAATATCCTAGACATTTTTTTATTTTTTTTTTGTCTTTAATTGTGACCAAATTAAAATGAAACAAACAGTTTCTGATTTGCTGTTAGTTAACTACTTGTATGTACTCTTGTTTTTGGCTGTCTGAAATCATAGCATTTATACTGTCCTCAAAAAAGAGACTGTAACACGATTCAGTGCCCTGCAATAAACCTAAAACAAACCCACCCCAACCGTGCTTGGCAATTGCACCCAACTGCTCTCCAGCAGAGCAATAATCTCTGAGAAAGGCCCATGTTTAAGCACTGAAATTGTCCTAGAGGAACATCAAGGCTCAGGTCCTTGAGTGGAATGTGTGTAGTGTGAAAGTGATTTCCTGTACAAAAGGTTTGACCAAAAAACCACTGCGTTTTCCTTGAAAAAAAATAGATCTGGTTTTAATCCAAGAATTATCAGCTACAAGAATCTAAGGGTCATTGAAAGAAAAAAAAAGGTATCTCTGAATACTTGACGGAAGTGGAGACAGTTAAACCATTGTGTTTTCCTTGAAAAAAATTAAATCTGGTTTAATCCAAGAATTATCAGCTACAAGAATCTAAGGGTCATTGAAAGAAAAAAAAAGGTATCTCTGAATACTTGACGGAAGTGGAGACAGTAGAAAGTTGCTTGAACAGCCCCAAAGTAGGTGAAGAGACAAGGAAGAATGAGATGTTTCAGAGAGCCCCTGGGTCACCGACCAGCACACGAGGGTCTGTGCACTGTCCCTCAGCGGCCTTCGAGCAGCAAAGAAGAACCGTCTCCCCCCCAGTACCAGCCTCCTTCCCTCCCTCCTTCCCTCCCTCCTTCCCTCCCTCCTTCCCTCCCTCCTTCCCTCCCTCCTTCCCTCCCTCCGGCCTCAGCACCCTCCTCCAAATCTCGCCCAACTTGCTGTTATTTCCTTCCTGTCTGTGCAATAAATGTGACAGTGTGTGTCCTCTTCCCATAGTGCAGCCATCAGTAGTAGGAAAGAGCATCTTTTATATGTATATATACACACACACACATATATATATCGCCACTATATATTATAACTTACACATTTATTACAATTGTATTATTTGTTTTTATATAATTTGCAGTTATATATGCTATATATTTATATGCTTATTTACATTTTTACTCATTTATATTAATACTTTAGTATTGATGTTCATATTTTATATTCTGTTTTATATGCTAGGTAAATATTATATGCGTATCATGTTATATATTTATGTTTTATGTTTAGTATATGTATAAAATGACAGACACCATGAAGGCCACAGGTGCTTCCCACCTGCTTGGGTGGGTGAGAGCAGGAGAGGTGTCAGGAGTTGGTTTTTTTGAGTGGGTGAGAGTGAGTGCCCAAGTGGGCTGAGGCTACGGCTGGTGCCAGGAAGGAGCATCAAAGCTGGGGAGGGAGGTGTGTGACACCGGTAAGTGACACGGGGGCAGCCAGAGCCGGAGAAGCCACCCCCTGCTACCCTCGCAGGGAATCACCCCGGGGGGTGCCTTTGGGGTTTATTTGTTTTGAGCCAGAGCCAGGCACAAGGCCCTTGGAGCCACAGCCAGAGCCTGCCCCCAGGCTCCGGGGGTGCAGGGAAGGGGACCCAGCCCTTTCCCAGGGGAAGGGTCCCTGCCAGCCCCACGGCCAGGGCACGGTGACCAACCCCCTCCCCACGCCCCGGCCGGGCCACCGCGCTCACACCGGGCGGGACACGGCTAATAAGGAGCGGGCTTTTGATGGTGCAGAATTTTCCATCTGTTCTCAGGATTTATAATTACATGCAACTCACTGTGCACCTTCAGCAATCCATAATTGGTCGGCATTTGCCTCATTAATCATTCAGGCGCTGGGAGCTGCTCAGGCACAACTGCAGGAATTATGGCCAAATCTACATATCTTTAGCTGTGGTTTATAGCATTTACCAGCCGCAGGTTTTTTTTGAACCGCGGTGGATTCTGAGGACATTTGCAGTTATTGTAGCTCAGGGGGTTTAATATCACGAAGTGCCACAAGATGGCACTGATTCCGAGGCCCCTGAGCCTGGCCACCCCCCTCCCCTTGCCCAGGCACCCCCTGTGCCATTGCCGCGGGTGCACTTTGGGTGACTTTGGGCATTTTTTACTAACTAGCCCGCGGCTCCAGCACCCCTCTGCTGCTCACGCTTTGTTTTGTTGTAAGCGGTGCCTATGAAATGCTGTGACCCTGTGACAACAACACAAAGCTTTGGGATTTCCACAGGTTTAATTTTCTTACGTAATATTTGATGGCTGTTTAATTGGGGTTTTTTTTAAGGCCTGAGCCCAGCCTTACAAACAGCAAACGAAGCCCGGATTGCGGTAAGTCCACCAAGAGCTGACATTTTTATTCATTGCTAAATTGGGTGAATTCTTATCAAAAGGTAGAAACCAGCACCTCCTGTACCTTAGCACAGACACTCCCCTCTGGACTCTCCAGCCATTCCCAGGGGGTTCACACCATCTCCCCCCATTTTGCTGTATCAGGGAGCTGGTGTTCTCCTTCTGACCGACCCGTGCCTCTCTGGCTGCCTGTCGCACCCCGAACGCTGCTCCCGTGGCCCATGTGATTGATGAGTCGCAATAACTGCTTTTGAGTCCCTTTGTTGTGACACTGGTTTCCAGTTTCACACGTGTAATGAATAGCCTTGCAAACATAGCGTATTATTTCATCCCTTTATTAAGTCATTTATTACACTGCAAGTTCTTTAACTGCATCAGAAAAGTTTCTGGATAAAACCAATTTACCGTCAGCAGGGTTTAACACACTGCTCTTACATGGATTGCTTTTCAGTAAATCCATACATTACAGAACCTGCCCAACACTAAAACAATAATCTTTTCATTTAACAAACTTCTTGTCACATTAGATTTTTATTTTGCTTGGAAACTGAGTTTTTTCTGGTTACCAAAAGGGAAAAGGATCTCTTTTAAATGCCCTTCTCATCTATGGCCACATGCTGAAATACTACAAAAACTGTCTTTCTTTAAATACAGGATGAATCCCACACTGGGCTTGAATCACACTGTTAGTTAAGGGAAAATATAGAAATAAATACAGGCAGTAGAGTACCAACACAGAACAGATGTTTACATTGAAACATATGTCATTCAGCTGTTAAAAACCAATTCAGACACCAACATATCAAAGGCATATTACTGACATATGGTGTCTGACACGCTTCCACAAACGGATCCACACGCTGCTTTGATGACAACCATGCAAATTGTATCTTTCCATGTGAACAGTTTATCAGGGGAACAGTCAGATTTGTGCCGGTACAGGAAGATGTATTTTGGATTTCTTCTGGAGGACGTGCTGTGTGGTAACCACACAGTACCACCCATCAAGGAGAACGTGTCTCAGATCATTCACTCCCTCTTGTTCCCACTCAGACCCAGGGTAAGACCCACCAAGCAGGGTGGCTTCCAAGTGAGGCCCGGCCGGCCGGTGGTGCTGCACGGTGTTGTGTTACAGCTCCAGGGGACAACCCTCTTCTGGGACAGCCACCTCGTCTCCAGAAGAAGGGTCAGGGAGAGCACCCTCTACACCACCCAGACCAGGTTGGTTTTTCCCTCCGCAGTGAAGATCCTCCCTGGTTCCTGTGGTCCTTTAGCCTCAGTAAGAATAAAAAACCCAAGCAGAGTCTCTGCGTCAGTTGTCACAGCAGAGTCCTCGTTTGCTAGAACCGCTCCGTGCCACGTCACTCGTCTGACAAAGGGGCTGCAGGAACTGCTGCTGCTGAGCAGCTCTCCCAGAGCAGGCAGAGTGACTCGGACACAATGGGCTGCGCCCAGCGCTGTCTCAGAGCTGACAGCTTGGTCTCCTCGGCATATGGCTGGCGGGTCCAGCACACGGGAGGGTACTGTCTGGCCACAGAAGAAATAGGTGTTAAAGCTTATTAATATTAAGGGGATCAGTCAGGCTAACATGGGGCTACATGCCAAGGTACCCAAGTCCTGTCTAGACTTAAGCATGTTTCAGTGGAAAAACCATCATTTCAGGTGCTGGGAGAGCTTTGCTGGCCAAAATTCGAGGTACCAACTTGGAGGCTTTTGAGGGGCCCCCAAGGTCAGATGTAGGGTTAAAGGAACTTTTACAATTTCAGCACCTAAATTTTACCTATGTTCCTTTCTAGAAAGTCGTCAGGGGGCTGTTGTTCAGCTCAGAGCCTCGGAAAGCAAGAATAAAACAAGCAAAGGCCATAGTGAAGTTTACACACAGATATCAGTGGAGGAAGGTCAGGCTGCTGGGAGAGATTCTACTGTGCCTCCATATGTAAATAGACAAGGAACACACACACACACACACACTTCCATAAAGCCAAATTACCCTTATTGCCTGCACTTCCCCTAAGAAGCTCCAGTTCCAACCCTGAATTCAAGTGCATGGGCACTACCTAATTCATGTAAGTATTTTTTTGTGTTGGATATCTAATGTATTTTTGCATCAGAGTATCCCCAATTCTAGCAGTTAATTCATGATTTTAAATAAACACCATTCAACTAAGGAGGGTTTCCCATGAATGCACTAAATAAGAGGAAATTCCAAGGTGTTATTCCTTCTCTGGCTATGTTTAGAGCCTAACGGGGTAGACCTGCTGGTCCCACTGAGGCCCAGACGTGGCCTTCAGCTCACGTCCTGTCCCTTCAGAGCACACGGAGCACCCTGCCCTCCTCCCTGGGGACACGGGTCCATCTGCTCCCCAGCCCAAGATGCTGCAGACGGGCAGCACACACTAACCCCCCCAGCACACACACCCCAGCCAGCTGGGCTCACCTGAAGGTGCTGGTTTGATTGCAGGAGGTCTGCCTTGATGTCTTCTGTACTTCTAGTTCCAAGCTTTCTGCCTTTAAATAAAAATACTGTTAGTGTTTATAGAATTTCCACAGTTTATTTTATCAGCCTCTCCCGTGTGTCCTCTCTGGTATAGAAAAAGGAAAAAAAAAAAAAGCCATACACTGTCTTCTAGTCACTAGTTGGTCCTCCTTTAAGGACCTTGTAAGACATTTTTTGTGTATTGTTTCCCTGCATATGTGGGCAGCTTTACTACTTCATCCCCCTCAGGACCACTTAACAACATCAGCAAAGCAATTAAGTGTAGTTTTCAGGAAAATGCCAGAGGCATTACACTGTCTGGATGGGAGTCTCAACCCAATTATTTTCAGCTAGTTGTGAACTGTGGAAAGTGGACTTTACTTCATTATAACTTCAGTTCCCACTGATTAAAAGTCTAGTGTGTTACAGACGGTAAGGAAAAATGAAACAATTAAACTTTCCATCAATAAAATTGCTGCATATTCTTCAACATAGGGGTTTACTTCTCTCCAGAGAAGTGATTAAAATGAACTGATTGAACTATAATTTGATTGACTGAAGAGCCTCGATCCATTGCACTAAAGCTTAAATTCCATCTTATTGCTCTATTTAACTCCGAATATAAAAAATTACTGGCGGTCTTGCAAACCCCTTATGCAGTCATCCAGCTGAAATTCCTTGCTGCTGACAGGCTGCCGTAGGTTCTGTTCTTTCTCTGCTGCGTGTGCGCGACTCACAATGGATTGATGCTGAAAAAGACACGATGACACTTAAGAAATCACATTAATACAGCTTTAAAAAAATTAGAAACGGCCTGTTGTATTCTCAGCTATCTTGTATCTGTTACATAATTGTTTGGGGATTCTGAACTCAACCACAGATAAAAGTTAATCCAAGAGACCGGAGAGAATAATTGCCAGGTTACATACAGCTGTTGCAGCAAAAATTAGCATAGTCTCCTGACTCAAAATGTGGCCGTGAGGCACCTTCCCACTGCAGAGCTGCCTTCAGCCAGGTGCAGGTCACTGGATGCACAGGGCTATGCGTGCGTACGCACGACTCGCGCCTTCCAGGAGCTCCTGGAGACACATTTAGTCTGGTCTCGAGGGCAGGTTGCACTGGCCGTGACTCAGGACGCCTGGATCCCCGTCCAAAAACCATTTATTTGGATCTGGGGCAAATTTAAAGTTTGCTTAGTCCAGGAGCCTTCATGTCTACAGACAGAAGAATGTGCTGCTGGAGTCAGGGCTCCTATCGCACAGTGACGTCTTACGAAAGCCAGCTCAGAAACAATGAGCTGCTCGCTTCTGTCAACAGATTGCTATCATGTTTTGAGAGAAAAATACTTAGAACGCTGTTCCCCCTCTGAAAATTTAATTGAAATGCCATTTCCTATTACGAGGCTGCCCCTATGTTGTATGACACCTGCTTTCTCTAGTCCCACCTTGTATTTTGAAATAAAACACAGTTATCTGACTAACAACTGCACACCAGTAACGTTGAGGAAGAATATATTACAGTGTTAAGTTGAACAAAGACCACATTATATTGGTAATTAAATGAATGTGGCCAAGATGTGCAGATAAGGATGGGCAACAGCTGGGTAAAAATACTTAATGCACTTCCTCAAACACCAAAACCTCAAACTCCAAATGAAGTCAGTAGATGTTTTTCCACTAACATCTCCAAGACCCAAGGCCTGTCCTCCTTGAGCTGTGATATTTACTACTGGGCTCAGTCTGCTGTTGAGCTTTGCACTTCTGGCTGTGGCTGATGTACGAGCCTGGTTTCCCAGCTAATCAGGCCATATATGTGATTTGTACCCACACCAACCCTTGGACATTGCCAATCCCAGTTTTACAGGGATTTCTGACCACAGCCAAGGGCTACTAATTCACTGTGTTCTTTGGTCTTACTGTTTAAGCATAGGCTATAGCACAATTCTTCACATTTGTTAGCCGAAAGCTACCAAGACCGTACTGAAGTCACCCAGGCAATATTGATCAGATAAAATGCTGTCTCCAGCTGATCTAGAAGGAACACCTTTGACAAATTATACTTGGCACTTAATGATAATCTTGTATTATCGGCCTTTTGTTTTCTCTTTGAGTACCAGTTACTGTCAGTGTTCCCTCTCCTGCACCCCCTGTACATCACACTGGATGAAGAGGTGCAGCTGCAGCCGCAGCAGCGTTGAAGGGGCACCGAGGGCACTGCGGAACCAGCGGCTCAGGTGTCTCTGGAGGCAGCAGGACGCTCCCTCCCTCCCTCAGCCCAGCTTCGTGCACACACACCACAGCCACACAGGGCCCCAAACGGCTGAGATCCCCACTCCATGCCCATTTAATCTTCCAGTTCTTACATAAACAGACAAATTCTCTCAGTTATAATAACATCTTTGTCTGTATAAAAGCTGCAGAAGGACGTGTTGTGTTTGAAGTCATTTCTATCTTATTTTCTTGCAGGACAAGAAAACATGAAAAGAGGAGCACCAAGTGTGAAACTTGCCTGGAGATTTCTCTTATTCCTGAATGACAAGGTGGCAGGGATCTTACAAACCATTTACTCACCTCTCTCGGCGCTCCCACATCCGTGGCACCAAGCAGAGCCTGGGAAGGGCTGTTTGTCACGCTGGCACGAGGCACAGGAGACGTGGGGAGTGTGCAAACAGTGTCAGGAGCAGGGCAGGACCTTCCTCCAAGCCCAGCCTGTGCAGGCACCTGACGGAGGAGGAACAGCCATCTCATGACCTACGCAATTGCTTAATGTGGCTCCCCAAAAAAGCATCAGCACCAAGAGTTCCAGCAGACCACGCTGGCCTGGCACACCAGGGAAAAAGGGAAGAAGGATTCAAGCTGGATCCATTTCCGTATCCCTGGGTCTCCTGGCAGACCCACAGGAATAACCTGCACAGCTACTGCGAAGAACAGCACTTTGCTATAGACACTGCAAATCACACGTGACCTCTCTGGCCTTACCCTCTTAGCAAGAGGCATCAGGGTCTTCTGGTTTTCACCAGCAAGTTAATTTCAAAATTTCTAATTACAAAAATATATATAAATGTCTTAGCCAGCGGATTTATGTTTGAAAAATACAGCACTTTAATTACAGAGATATTGTAATTCTCAATTTTTGAGGAAATGTGATTACTGCAATTTCTTCATTAGGTTACAGTTTCACTATTTAAGAAAACATTATTTAAAAGGCACAGTGTTATCTGTTTATTCTACACTGTTAAAACCCCAGCAAACATAAGCAAACACTTGAAACTCTCTTCCTAGCAACCAAGGTCTTTCATCACAAAAGCAGCATCTTTGTCTTTTTTCTGTACCTTGTATTAAGCCAAATTTGTAGTTTGCAGCCCTTCAGGCCATTCAATAACCATCAAATTCCTGGAATATAATTTTAGGTGAAAGTCTGAACCAGTGACTAAACCATGTCCTTGTTCACATTCTAAAAAAATTTATTTGGGCTTTTTTTCAAACACACCACATGAGTAACAAGAGTGCCCTCAGCTTTAACGTTACAGGAAAACGGTCTATCACACTCCCCAAAATGACTCTGGGCCAGAATTCCAGACTGGATCCCTCCGAATCCCTATTTGAATGCCTGTGTCCCCACTACTTACATGTAACACTATGGTCATGGGGCCAGATTTTTCAGAATTCTGTGTATCCTTTAGTTCCACTGACAGAAATATTAAAAAAAATTAATTTTAGGCATTAAGCTTCTTTACATTTACTAACCTGATGCGTGACTTAACCCTTCAAATTACCAGCAGCATTTTACCAAGTGCTGCATTTCTGCAATCCCCACTGCACCGAGTACAAAACACAGATGATACTGATTACTCCCTTGGGATTTAGCTCTGGCTTTAAAGGCTGGGATAGCAGCGATGTTTTTACTGGCGAAACGTGGTTTTTGGATCTCTTAAGATCTTTGCAGGATGCTGAGGATCAAAAAAAATCCAGAAAATACTTACACTAACAGAATCCTCTCCTCCTCTGCATCCCTTCTTACATAAGGGCAGGTTATCTGAGGGAGACTGATAGTCTCCTTGCTAAGTCTTCAAGAAAATCAGAGGAGCAACCGGGAAATCTGTCTTCCATGGGAAAGATGAAAGACAGCTAAGTGAGAGGATGTGTCCTTCTCCACACGTACAGTTTGGTCAAAGAGCCGGCGCCGCCCCCGGCCTTTTCCCAGAAGAGTTCAGAGACAACTGTCCAGAGAAGTACCCGGTCTGCCCAGCAGCTCTGCGAACAGCGGGACGCGCTGCAGCGCTCTGGGCTGCTGCAGCCCTGTCATTCCAGTGCCTCCCGGGTCAGGCGAGTGCATTACATTAACACTGTTCCAGGCAAAGCACAAGGGCTGCCAACAGAACGGCGCAGCATAATGATGGGGTGGGAGGGGTGGGCACGCGCCCAGACACTACATGGTTGGAAGGAGCGGGGAGCCTTGATGTGATGCTGACTTACCTGAGAGTGCCCAGTGCAGGTTATCAATCACACACACCTCTCAGCAGACTGTGTGCCTGTTCACCACCACTTCAGTTTTTTCATAGCTTAGTTCAAGATTTTCATTTGTTTCACCCCTAATAATTTATTTATGAGCTTAGGATTATTAACAATTTGAAGCTTCATTACAAACTATCCTGGGGGAATCTCACCTGCCTCATCCCATTAAATTATTATTCCCTAATATCTAATTTACATTTAATAAGACATCAATTGAACATCAATAAAATAATAATGAATTAATAAACTATAGGTTCCTGGAACTACTAGTAGCTTAAACATGTAAGCAAACGCAGCGCACAGTCTGCAGGTCACTGTCAAATCTCTCTGAGAATAGTTGTCAGAATCATTTAGTATTTAGAATATGACAATAAGCCATGAAAATATGTAATTGCTATGGTATTGAACTAATTCTTATGATAACTGTGAACCACACCAATCTGTAACCTTCAGTAACCAAGTGTTGTATGTAAGGCCATCCTGAAACACAACAAATGCCTCAGGGACTCCACTTTTCCATGAAATGGCAAACGAATTTTTTGGGTACTTATTTTTTTCTACTTTAACATTTTTTTATATAGAGAAAGTTAAAACACATCTGGGTTTGTTTTTTTTTTTAACTGACAATCTTCTGCCTAAGAACACTGAAACAGCCTAGTTCAATATTGCTGGGTGGGTGTTCTGTTTTAACAAAATACCGACCCACAGGACGAGCTTTGGTGAATATTTCTACCTAGACAGAAGTGGCCTTATTTCACCCTGGGGCATTCTGGTCAAGGCCCTAATCCTATTCCACCCTGTAGCTCCACAGTGCTTTTTATCACCAACTGGGGACCACTTCCATGTACATTCCTGGGCTCATACCAGGAAGCCACATGAGGCTTCATGGAGGAAGGTGAAGCACAAGACTCACACTTTTCATTTTGCTTTTTTTTTTCTTCACCAAGTTCTTACGTACTTTTCTTTATAGTTCAAATTTTACCAGGCTTGAAAAAGAGCCTTAGATGGAAAAGATGACCACGTTGTCAGTGTCACGCTTCTCTGTCCCCGTCCACTACGTGCCACTTACCCTGTTCTTCAAAACGATCCCACTGAAGTCAGTGGACTCCCTCAGCCCCACACTTCAGCAGGATTTACGTGAGGGTGTTACATGCCCATCTGTGGAACAGAAGCCAAAATACTGTATTATCCTTCTATGTCCAGCTGAGATTTTATAATATTCACTGACACTCCTTTTCTTTTCATCCACAGAACATTTGTCTTTTGCAACTGTTCATGTCCACTGTTTGGGTATCTCCATTCCACAAGCAAGGACTGTACGGCCAACTGGCCTCAGGCATCAACATAGGTTCATGCAAACATTACGGTCCCATTTGAAACCTTAATGCTGCCCGGGATGGTTACAAGTCCGTGAGATGTGCTGTTCAAACCCCAACATAGAGAGGTTTCAATTTAACATTTTAAAAAATGAGCAGTTCTACCACTCAGAAACACTCAAGAGACCCCAAGCAAACACTCACATCCTTAACGTGTCTTTTAACCGGAAAGGATTCATCACAGTCCAGAACCAAGGATGTCTCCTTCCTGCGCAGACCCAAATATGTTCCTTTTCTGGGGGGCACTCTCAGAATGAAACGATGACAGGTTTAACACAGAGAGCATCTGCCCACAGCTTTGAGGGATGGGTCTAATTTTAGGACAACCTGCTTACTGAATATTCCATTTCCTCTCATTTAACCACACTCAAGTTTTGAAAGAAAAATACCACTCACCTCTCTTTTTAAAAAATTTCCACTATGGACTATTTTCACTGCCCTCATTCAATCAAACTACTCGCTGACTTGAATAGGTATTTTTCTTGAGTAAGACAGGATAAAGCCTTCAGTCTCGGGGCCTTCTTTGCAATGGAACCTGTGAAAATCAAAATAAATAATGTACACCAATTCACCGTTCACGAGTACAAAACCAGTCCCCAGAGTGACAGCTATCAGTTCGTCTCCAGTGAGAGCTGTGTAACCTCTCCTGTAAACATGACAATGAATAATGATCAGTCTCTTACACCTCTCTTGTGGGACAGACCCTTAATTATGGCTATTACATTATTAATTGATTCAGAGAAGTCTACATGGCTAAAGCTGCATTCTCCTCTGGACATCAAAGACAGCATTAAAACCCTGCTTAGGAACGCTCCCCAGGAACATCTGCTGATGTTCCTCCCAGCTAAGGAATGCTCTGCTCTAGACAGAAAGCACACAGCTTCAGCTCGCTGCCTCCTACTCCCGGACGATAAGGCATCCTACAAAAACTGATACACCAAGTAACTTCCTGACCACGAGGCTCGCGACACAGCTACACTACAACAGTAGGACAAATGATGACTGTGTAACACAAAATTGAACTAGACACCACCCACTAAGGCGCTGTACCACCAGCATCTACGACTGCACCACAAGCAGAGCCGTAACATTTTAATTTTGTACGTGTAGCATTTATGGGCATCCTTCAGGGATAAACCTAACTCGGCAGGTTTCTCCAGTCAATGCGGAAGGATGTCTATGCAGGTACCCCAAGGAGGGAACAACAGGGCAGAATCAAGACTTCAGGTTTGCACCAAGCAATGAATGATTCACAAACACTTTATATGTAGGTAACACAAATCAATTCTTACAAGGTAATTACTAGAAAATTAATGTAACTGCCTCTCAAGAGGATTGGTGGAGAATACTGTTATCTTCTGCTGGTTTCTAGATGCAAGCTAATGCTGAGGATGTGTAACAGGTGATGATACACAGTATGATAATGCATTTGCATATGTAGCGACATTGATAGCCAACATCTTATAACGTTATCTATGTGGAAATTAATGCCTGGCAATTTATCAGTTCTTAATAAAGCTCTTTGCTTCTAAGTATTACTGTTGATGCTGCTCTTGGTTTTGATTCAGCCGATTTTTGCCTGGGCTCAGCACTGTGGCTCATCCATGTTTCCCCAGCTCCCTCAGGATTTGCAAATACAAATTCCTACTTGATGAGCCTGTTAAAAAAGCATGTTCTAAAGCACGACTGCACTTCAAGCAGAGTTTGTGTCACACATCTCAATTGCCAAGAGCTGTTGTAAGCAATTATGATAGACAAAGACACAACTCTCAGTTATATCCTTAGACAAGAGTAACATTTCTTTGTAAACACCTCCCTTCCTGAGCATCTCTCACTCACATCATGGCAGCGGCTCCATGAGC